CAAAAAGAGCTTGTGTTTCCGGGAGCCGAGTACAGCTGGGAGGAGAACGTGTTTCTGACACCAGAAGACAGGGGGAAAGGCCGAGGACAGTGTGTTTCTGAGCCCAGAGGTCAGCGAGCAGGGCAAAAAGAGCTTATGTTTCCAGGGACACGAGTACATCTGGGAGGAGAACGTGTTTCTGACACCCAAAGACTGGGGAAAGGCGAAGGACAGTGTGTTTCTGAGACCAGAGTGCAGCGAGCAGGGCAAAAAGAGTTTGTGTTTCCGGGAGCCGAGTACAGCTGGGAGGAGAACGTGTTTCTGACACCCAAAGACAGGGAAAGGCCAGGACAGTGTGTTTCTGAGCCCAGAGGTCAGCGAGCAGGGCAAAAAGAGCTTGTGTTTCCCGGCAGCCGAGTACAGCTGAGGAGAACGTGTTTCTGACACCCAAAGACAGGGGAAAGGCCAGGGACAGTGTGTTTCTGAGCCCAGAGGTCACGAGCAGGGCAAAAAGAACTTGTGTTTCCCGGGAGCCGAGGACAGCTGGGAGGAGAACGTGTTTCTGACACCCAAAGACAGGGGGAAAGGCCAGGGACAGTGTGTTTCTGAGCCCAGAGGGCAGCGAGCAGGGCAAAAAAGAGCTTGTGTTTCCGGGCACCTGAGTACAGCTGGGAGGAGAACGTGTTTCTGACACCCAAAGACAGGGGGAAAGGCCAGGGACAGTGTGTTTCTGAGCCCAGTGGGCAGCGAGCAGGGCAAAAGAGCTTGTGTTTCCGGGAGCCGAGTACAGCTGGGAGGAGAACGTGTTTCTGACACCCAGAAGACAGGGGGAAAGGCCAGAGGACAGTGTGTTTCTGAGCCCAGAGGTCAGCGAGCAGGGCAAAAGAGCTTGTGTTTCCTGGCATCCGAGTACAGCTGGGAGGAGAACGTGTTTCTGACACCCAAAGACTGTGGGAAAGGCCAGGGACAGTGTGTTTCTGAGACCAGAAAAGGACAGTGAGACCAACAAAGGACAGTGTGTTTCTGAGCCCAGAGGTCAGCGAGCAGGGCAAAAAAGAGCTTATGTTTCCAGGGACACGAGTACATCTGGGAGGAGAACGTGTTTCTGACACCCAAAGACAGCGGCGATGGCAAAGGACAGTGTGTTTCTGAGACCAGAGTGCAGCGAGCAGGGCAAAAAAGAGTTTGTGTTTCCGGGAGCCGAGTACAGCTGGGAGGGGAACGTGTTTCTGACACCCAAAGACAGGGGAAAGGCCAGGGACAGTGTGTTTCTGAGCCCAGAGGTCAGCGAGCAGGGCAAAAAGAGCTTGTGTTTCCTGGCACCCGAGTACAGCTGGGAGGAGAACGTGTTTCTGACACCCAAAGACTGGGGAAAGGCCAGGGACAGTGTGTTTCTGAGACCAGAGGGCAGCGAGCAGGGCAAAAAGAGCTTGTGTTTCCACAGCACCAGAGTACAGCTGGGAGGAGAACGTGTTTCTGACACCCAAAGACAGGGTGAAAGGCCAGGGACAGTGTGTTTCTGAGACCAGAAAAGGACAGTGAAACCAGCAAAGGACAGTGTGTTTCTTGAGACCAGAGGGCAGCGAGCAGGGCAAAAAGAGTTTGTTTCCGGCAGCCGAGAACAGCTGGGAGGAGAACGTGTTTCTGACACCAGAAGACAGGGGAAAGGCCAAGGACAGTGTGTTTCTGAGCCCAGAGGTCAGCGAGCAGGGCAAAAAGAGCTTGTGTTTCCTGGCATCCGAGTACAGCTGGGAGGAGAACGTGTTTCTGACACCCAAAGACTGTGGGAAAGGCCAGGGACAGTGTGTTTCTGAGACCAGAAAAGGACAGTGAGACCAACAAAGGACAGTGTGTTTCTGAGCCCAGAGGTCAGCGAGCAGGGCAAAAAAAGAGCTTATGTTTCCAGGGCCACGAGTACATCTGGGAGGAGAACGTGTTTCTGACACCCAAAGACAGCGGCGATGGCGAAGGACAGTGTGTTTCTGAGACCAGAGTGCAGCGAGCAGGGCAAAAAGAGTTTGTGTTTCCACGGGAGCCGAGTACAGCTGGGAGGAGAACTTGTTTCTGACACCCAAAGACAGGGGGAAAGGCCAGGACAGTGTGTTTCTGAGCCCAGAGGTCAGCGAGCAGGGCAAAAGAACTTGTGTTTCCTGGGAGCCGAGTACAGCTGGGAGGAGAACGTGTTTCTGACACCCAAAGACAGGGGAAAGGCCAGGGACAGTGTGTTTCTGAGACCAGAGGTCAGGGCGAGCAGGGCCAAAAAAAAGAGCAGAGAGAGTGTGTTTCCTGGCACCCGAGTACAGCTGGGAGGAGAACGTGTTTCTGACACCCAAAGACAGGGGAAAGGCCAGGGACAGTGTGTTTCTGAGCCCAGAGGTCAGCGGCAGGGCAAAAAGAGCTTGTGTTTCCTGGCACCCGAGTACAGCTGGGAGGAGAACGTGTTTCTGACACCCAAAGACAGGGGAAAGGCCAAGGACAGTGTGTTTCTGAGCCCAGAGGTCAGCGACAGCAGGGCAAAAAAGAGTTTGTGTTTCCCGGGAGCCGAGTACAGCTGGGAGGAGAACGTGTTTCTGACACCCAAAGACAGGGGAAAGGCGAAGGACAGTGTGTTTCTGAGCCCAGAGGTCAGCGAGCAGGGCAAAAAAGAGCTTGTGTTTCCTGGGCACACGAGTACAGCTGGGAGGAGAACATGTTTCTGACACCCAAAGACAGTGGGAAAGGCCAGGGACAGTGTGTTTCTGAGACCAGAAAAGGACGAAAGGACAGTGTGTTTCTGAGACCAGAGTGCAGCGAGCAGGGCAAAAAGAGTTTGTGTTTCTGGCAGCCGAGTACAGCTGGGAGGAGAACGTGTTTCTGACACCAGAAGACAGGGGGAAAGGCCGAGGACAGTGTGTTTCTGAGCCCAGAGGTCAGCGAGCAGGGCAAAAAGAGCTTATGTTTCCTGGATCCGAGTACATCTGGGAGGAGAACGTGTTTCTGACACCCAAAGACACTGGCAGCAAAGGACAGTGTGTTTCTGAGACCAGAGTGCAGGAGCAGGGCAAAAAGAGTTTGTGTTTCCTGAGTACAGCTGGGAGGGAACGTGTTTCTGACACCCAAAGACCAGGGGGAAAAGGACAGTGTGTTTCTGAGCCCAGAGGTCAGCGAGCAGGGCAAAAAGAATTTGTGTTTCCGCCGGAGCCGAGTACAGCTGGGAGGAGAACGTGTTTCTGACACCCAAAGACAGGGGAAAGGCCAGGGACAGTGTGTTTCTGAGACCAGAGGTCAGCGAGCAGGGCAAAAAGAACTTGTGTTTCCTGGCACCCGAGTACAGCTGGGAGGAGAACGTGTTTCTGACACCCAAAGACAGGGGGAAAGGCCAGGGACAGTGGCGACCAGAAAAGGACAGGAAACCAGCAAAGGACAGTGTGTTTCTGAGACCAGGGGCAGCGAGCAGGGCTAAAAAGAGTTTGTGTTTCCGGCACCTGAGTACAGCTGGGAGGAGAACGTGTTTCTGACACCGAAGACAGGGGGAAAGGCCAAGGACAGTGTGTTTCTGAGCCCAGAGGTCAGCGAGCAGGTCAAAAAGAGCTTGTGTTTCCCCGAGCCGAGTACAGCTGGGAGGAGAACGTGTTTCTGACACCCAAAGACAGCGGCGAAAATGGCGAAGGACAGTGTGTTTCTGAGAACAGAAAATGGACAGTGAGACCAGCAAAGGACAGTGTGTTTCTGAGACCAGAGGGCAGCGAGTAGGGCAAGAGAGCTTGTACGTATGCAGAGTATGGAACATTGTGCAAATTGTAAGAACTCACAATACACAGTCATCTTTACATTTCCTTCGTCTGTATTACACTGCTTCCCAGGGTTGTGTGCTGTGCCAATTTGGGTGTGGATTTTAAAACGCCCCCTAAAAATGAACCTCCCGTACTGTGCCCATGCATATTGCTGTATAACCGAGCGGGGTGTGACACTGTCTTTTCACAGCCCTCAGAGTGTTGCAAAAAGGAGGAGGGCCGAAATACAACAGCGTGTTTCACTGAGTTTATTATTATCATCGCTACTAGTAATTATCGGGTGAAAAAAAAACACAGCCCAGGCTCGAACTCGCCATCCCGGCATCTAACCCCGGCGTTGTCCTCGCGTCGCTACACAGCCCCGAGCGGGTCAGAGTGATCTCTTTCACAGCCCTCAGAGTATTGCAAAAGAAGGAGGCCGAAATACAACAACGTGCGCGTGTTTCACTGTTATCGGTTTATTATTATCATCGCTGTTAATAATTATCTGGTAGGGCAAAAAAACACCGCCCGGGCGAGGCTCGAACTCGCCACCTCGGCATCTAACCCAGCCGTTGTCCTCGCATTGCGTACACACACTCCGAGCCGAGCGGGTCAGAGTGACCCTTGATCTCTTTTCACAGCCCTCAGAGTATTGCCAGAAAAGAGGAGCCCGAAATACAAAGACGAGCTGTTTACGGTCGTCCATCTATTATCACTGTCTTTATTAGTATTTATTGGCGATGGCGAAAAGAAACACAGCGGGGGATGCCCACGTCCGGGGCCTCTTCATCCTTCGCTTCTGAGACCCGAGACAGCGGGCAGGGCAAGAGAGCTTGTGTTTCCAGACCCGAGGACAGCGGGTAGGAGAACGTGTTTATGAGACGCGAGGACAGGGGAAAGGCCAAGGACAGTGTGTTTCTGAGACCCAAGGACAGAGGGGAGGGCAAAAGAGTGTCTGGGAACTACAAACACGCCGCGAGTCTCCAGCCCTGTCCGCAACCATCAGGGTCCCAGTGACCCTAGGCTGCGTAAGGGGTTACTCTAGGCTGACCCGAGGACGGCGGGAGTGAGGGGGAATCCTAAGCTCGGGTCGCCGGGACCCGAGGGTAGTGTGAGGGTTAAGGCTTTGAAATCCAAAGGGGTTTCGCCGCGCAGTTTCGAACCCTGCTCTCAGCGAATTTTTATCTTGTCCGGTAGTCTGGATGATGCCTAGTCTGTTTGTAAAACAAGATTTTCTTTTATGAAGAAAATACTCCGGTTAAACAAGCTGTGATGGCCGATGGTTAAGGCGTTGACTTGAAACTAATGGTTTCACAGGTTCGAACCCTGCCCTCAGCAAATTCCTTGGTTTTGTCCGCAATTTTAAACATCTGGATTAATTTGCATGGTCATACAGACAATCTGATGATTCCTAGTCTGTTTGTAAAACAAGATTTTTTTTTTTTTACGAAGAAAATACTCCTTTAAACAAGCTGTGATGGCCGAGTGGTTAAGGCTTTGAAACTAATGGGGTTTCTCCGCGCAGGTTAGAACCCTGCTCTCACCGAATTTTTATCTTGTCCGCAATTTAAACATCTGGATTAATTTGCATGGTCAATACAGACTATTTGTACGATTCCCTGTCTCTTGGGGGTTTCCCCGCGCAGGTTCGAACCCTGCTCAGCGAATTTTTATCTTGTCCGCAATTTAAACATCTGGATTAATTTGCATGGTCAATACAGACAATCTGGATGATGCCTAGTCTGTTTGTAAAACAAGATTTTTTTTTTTATGAAGAAAATACTCCTTTAAACAAGCTTTGATGGCCGAGTGGTTAAGGCGTTTGTTTTGAAATCCAATGGGGTTTCCGCGCAGGTTCGAACCCTGATCTCAGCGAATTATTACTTTGTCCACAATCTGGATGATGCCTAGTCTGTTTGATAAACAAGATTTTTTTTTATGAAGAAAATACTCCGTTAAACAAGCTGTGATGGCCGAGTGGTTAAGGCGTTGGATTTGAAATCCAATGGGGTTTCCCGCGCAGGTTCGAACCTTGCTCTAAGCGAATCTTTTTTGTCCGCAATTTTAAACATCTGGTCTAATTTGCATGGTCGTACAGACAATCTGATGATGCCTAGTCTGTTTGTAAAACAAGATTTTTTTTTATACGAAGAAAATACTCCTTTAAACAAGCTGTGATGGCCGAGTGGTTAAGGCTTTGAAATCCAATGGGGTTTCTCCGCGCAGGTTAGAACCCTGCTCTCAGCGAATTGTTATCTTGACTGCAATTTTAACATCTGATTTTGCATGGTCAATACAGACTATCTGGACGATACCCTGTCTCTATGGGGTTTCCCGCGCAAGTTCGAACCCTGCCTCAGCGAATTTTTATCTTGACTGCAATTTTAACATCTGGATTTGCATGGTCAATACAGACAATCTGGATATTTATCGCCGAGGGTGTAAAAAACCACCTCACCGGGCAAGGCTCGAACTCACAACCCCGGCATCTAACCCCAGCCGTTGTCCTCGCGTCGCGTACACACCCCGGATTGAGCGGGTCCGAGTGACCCGCGATCCCATTTCACACAGCCCTCAAGAGTTTTGCAAAAAAGAGGAGGCCGAAATACAACAACGTGCGCGTGTTTCACCGTTGTCCAGCTATTCTTACTACCTTTATTAGTATTTATCGGCGAGGGTGTAAAAAACCACCGCACCGGGCGAGGCTCGAACTCACAACCCCGGCATCTAACCCCAGCCGTTGTCCTCGCGTCGCGTACACACCCCGAATTGAGCGGGTCCGAGTGACCCGCGATCCCATTTCACACAGCCCTGGGAGTTTTGCAGCCGAGTACAGCTGGTAGGAGAACGTGTTTCTGACACCCAAAGACATGGGGAAAGGCCAGGGACAGTGTGTTTCTGAGCCCAGAGGTCAGCGAGCAGGGCAAAAAAGAGCTTGTGTTTCCCGGGACCCGAGTACAGCTGGGAGGAGAACGTGTTTCAGAGACCCGAAGACAGCGGGGGCCACGTTAGGGTTACACAGGTTGACCCGAGGACGGCGGGAGTGAGGGGAATCCTACGCTCGGGTCGCCGGGACCCGAGGGTAGTGTGAGGGTTAACAAACAGACTAGGCGTCATCCAGATTGCGGACAAAATAAAAATTCGCTGAGAGCAGGGTTCGAACCTGCGTGGGGAAACCCCATTGGATTTCAAAACAAACGCCTTAACCACTTGGCCATCACAGCTTGTTTAACGGAGTATTTTCTTCGTTAAAAAAAAATCTTGTTTTACAAACAGACTAGGCATCATCCAGATTGTCTGTATTGACCATGCAAAATCCAGATGTTAAAATTGCAGTCAAGATAAAAATTCGCTGAGAGCAGGGTTCGAACTTGCGCGGGGAAACCCCATAGAGACAGGGTATCGTCCAGATAGTCTGTATTGACCATGCAAAATCCAGATGTTAAAATTGCAGTCAAGATAACAATTCGCTGAGAGCAGGGTTCTAACCTGTGCGGAGAAACCCCATTGGATTTCAAAGCCTTAACCACTCGGCCATCACAGCTTGTTTAAAGGAGTATTTTCTTCGTATAAAAAAAAATCTTGTTTTACAAACAGACTAGGCATCATCCAGATTGTCTGTACGACCATGCAAATTAGACCAGATGTTTAAAATTGCGGACAAAAAAAGAATACGCTTAGAGCAAGGTTCGAACCTGCGCGGGGAAACCCCATTGGATTTCAAGTCCAACGCCTTAACCACTCGGCCATCACAGCTTGTTTAAAGGAGTATTTTCTTCATAAAAAAAAATCTTGTTTATCAAACAGACTAGGCATCATCCAGATTGTGGACAAAGTAATAATTCGCTGAGATCAGGGTTCGAACCTGCGCGGGGAAACCCCATTGGATTTCAAAACAAACGCCTTAACCACTCGGCCATCAAAGCTTGTTTAAAGGAGTATTTTCTTCATAAAAAAAAATCTTGTTTTACAAACAGACTAGGCATCATCCAGATTGTCTGTATTGACCATGCAAATTAATCCAGATGTTTAAATTGCGGACAAGATAAAAATTCGCTGAGAGCAGGGTTCGAACCTGCGCGGGGAAACCCCAAAGAGACAGGGAATCGTACAAATAGTCTGTATTGACCATGCAAATTAATCCAGATGTTTAAATTGCGGACAAGATAAAAATTCGCTGAGAGCAGGGTTCTAACCTGCGCGGAGAAACCCCATTGGATTTCAAAGCCTTAACCACTCGGCCATCACAGCTTGTTTAAAGGAGTATTTTCTTCGTAAAAAAAAAAATCTTGTTTCACAAACAGACTAGGAATCATCCAGATTGTCTGTATGACCATGCAAATTAATCCAGATGTTTAAAATTGCGGACAAAATAAAAATTTGCTGAGGGCAGGGTTCGAACCTGCGCGGGGAAACCCCATTGGATTTCAAATCCAACGCCTTAACCACTCGGCCATCACAGCTTGTTTAACGGAGTATTTTCTTCATAAAAGAAAATCTTGTTTTACAAACAGACTAGGCATCATCCAGACTGCGGACAAGATAAAAATTCGCTGAGAGCAGGGTTCGAAACTGCGCGGCGAAACCCCTTTGGATTTCAAAGCCTTAACCCTCACACTACCCTCGGGTCCCGGCGACCCGAGCGTAGGATTCCCCCTCACTCCCGCCGTCCTCGGGTCAACCTAGGTAACCCCTTACGCAGCCTAGGGTCACTGGGACCCTGATGGTTGCGGACAGGGCTGGAGACTCGCGGCGTGTTTGTAGTTCCCAGACACTCTCTTGCCCTCCCCTCTGTCCTTGTGTCTCAGAAACACGCTGTCCTTGGCCTTTCCCCCTGTCCTCGGGTCTCATAAACACGTTCTCCTACCCGCTGTCCTCGGGTCCTGGGAAACACAAGCTCTCTTGCCCTGCCCGCTGTCCTCGGGTCTCAGAAACGAAGGATGAAGAGGCCCCGGACGAGGGCATCCCCCGCTGTGTTTCTTTTCGCCCTCGCCAATAAATACTAATAAAGACAGTGATAATGGATGGACGACCGTGAAACGCGCGCTCGTCTTTGTATTTCGGGCTCCTCTTTTCTGGCAATACTCTGAGGGCTGTGAAAAGAGATCAAGGGTCACTCTGACCCGCTCGACTCGGGTGTGTGTACGCAATGCGAGGACAACGGCTGGGTTAGATGCCGAGGTGGCGAGTTCGAGCCTCGCCCGGGGCGGTGTTTTTTTTTGCCCTACCAGATAATTATTAACAGCGATGATAATAATAAACCGATAACAGTGAAACACGCGCACGTTGTTGTATTTCGGCCTCCTTCTTTTTGCAATACTCTGAGGGCTGTGAAAAGAGTTCGAGGGTCACTCTGACCCGCTCGACTCGGGCTGTGTACGCGACGCGAGGACAACGCCGGGGTTAGATGCCGAGGTGGCGAGTTCGAGCCTCACCCTGGGCTGTGTTTTTTTTCATCCTCCCAGATAATTACTAGTAGCGATGATAATAATAAACCGATTACAGTGAAACACGTGCACGTTGTTGTATTTCGGCCTCCTCCTTTTTGCAACACTCTGAGGGCTGTGAAAAGAGATCGAGTGTCACTCTGACCCGCTCGACTCGGGGTGTGTAGGCGATGCGAGGACAACACGAGGGTTATACAGCAATATGCATGGGCACAGTACGGGAGGTTCATTTTAGGGGGGCGTTTTAAAATCCACACCCAAATTGGCACAGCACACAACCCTGGGAAGCAGTGTAATACAGACGAAGGAAATGTAAAGATGACTGTGTATTGTGAGTTCTTACAATTTGCACAATGTTCCATACTCTGCATACGTACAAACTCTCTTGCCCTGCTCGCTGCCCTCTGGTCTCAGAAACACACTGTCCTTTGCTGGTCTCACTGTCCTTTTCTGATCTCAGAAACACACTGTCCTTCGCCATCGCCGCTGTCTTCGGGTGTCAGAAACACGTTCTCCTCCCAGCTGTACTCGGCTCCCGGGAAACACAAGCTCTTTTTTGCCCCGCTCGCTGACCTCTGGGCTCAGAAACACACTGTCCTTGGCCTTTCCCCTGTCTTCTGGTGTCAGAAACACGTTCTCCTCCCAGCTGTTCTCGGCTGCCGGGAAACACAAACTCTTTTTGCCCTGCTCGCTGCCCCCTGGTCTCAGAAACACACTGTCCTTTGCTGGTTTCACTGTCCTTTTCTGGTCTCAGAAACACACTGTCCCTGGCCTTTCCCCCTGTCTTTGGGTGTCAGAAACACGTTCTCCTCCCAGCTGTACTCGGGTGCCAGGAAACACAAGCTCTTTTTTGCCCTGCTCGCTGACCTCTGGTCTCAGAAACACACTGTC